TCCTGCTCGTCTTCTTCCATCTCCGTCCGGGGCTCTTCAGGAGTCGCTCGGAAGCGGCCGGGCAGCCGGGAAGCCTCCCTCGCTCTATTTACACTCCCTCCCTTCACCCACTCGCCTCCCCACCCCCATACACGCAACTGTCAGCACCGCCCCGCTGCACCGCCAATCCGGAGCCGTGTGCGGTCTTGCGCACGCGCGCTCCGGTGACGCTCCCGGGGCGGAGCGCCATCTTTCCGACCCTCCATTGGTTCCTTGACCGCTCCCACCCTCTTCGGCAACACCAATAAGCGGGATGCAAGATGCCCGGGGCTTGCGGCTGGTAGTCAACTGTCCGGCGGGAAGGTTCGGGCAAACCGTTTCCCCGCGGCGGCCCTACCCGGCGCCCCCTCCCGACAGGAGGAGGACTCACAAGCGAGCTGCGGTCCAAGCCTCGGGTTCGCTCTCTCCACTCTCCATGGATCTTGCAAAAGTCGTTTTTATGATCCGCTGTCACCTTAAGCCCCACAGTTCTTCAGCATTGGTAGGACGCTAGCCCCTTTAGTGAATTACTTGGTCCACTGCAGTCAGCCTGTAGATTCACTTAGATTTCTCCTACCTCCCTGGCCCTGCTTTGACCATTTCTGCCCCTCCTAAATACGGACTCCTGTCTAACACAAAAAACTTGGACTGGTGTCCCCAGTGGGCCCGGAGTTGCCACTGAGAGGGCCGTTCTGTACCTGCACACTCTTCTATGCACAGAGTTACAGTGTGCTCCGGCTCCCGACTGTGACTCCACCACCTCTACCTGGAAACAGCCTCCCTGGTGTAAGAAAACCAATCAGCTACGGTCCACTTTAAATAAGAGGCGCGTTTAGAGCTCATCAATGAATCACAGATAATCAGATCAGGAAAGATCAGGCCCCTGTCTTCCCTAGCCAACAGCTGACGCCTGCTTGCCTGAGTTCTTTTTGTCTTTTATGGGCTGTTATGTGACTAAGCCAATGTATTTGAAAACGGAGGGAATCTTGAGTTCCAGAATATGTGTTAGATAAGGCTTTGCATCCTGCATCAATAGGATGGGGAATCTGGAGATGGGGTAACTCCTGGAAGATTGTATCCCCTAAAGGATTCAGCAATGAGGAATTCGGTTGCATGGAAATGCATTTAGGGTTATAAAAACTATTTTATACTAAATCTGCATGCCAGCCATTTTTAACCTTCTCATCAAATAAATTGCTTCACTTTGATTACTCAGAATCTCCGGGAGTCTAATGAAGTGTTTCTCACACTGATGAAAATGGTGGCAGGGAGAGGTGTTCCCTCTGGGCTGACCTGTCCTTCCGGATATGTTGGTATCTTAGAGCAATGCGATTGTTTTTTTCATATGGGGTTTCTCTACGTAGCCCTGGCTGTCCTGGAACTCACTCTATAGACCAGGCTGGCCTGGATCCACCTGACTCCGCCTCCCCAGTACTGGTACTAAGGCGTGTGCCATTGCCAGGCAGAGCAGTATTTCTAAACTGTTTGGAGGGCGCACTTTATATATTAAAAACTGGGGAACTAGAGAGATGGCTCAGCAGTTGGGAGCACCAGCTGCTCTTCCAGAACGCTCTCCCAGCACCTAATGGTAGCTCACAACCATCTGTAACTCCAGTTCAGGGGATCTGATGTCCAGCTCTAGCTTCTGACGGCACTAAGCACACATGTGGTGCACATACATACACATAAACAAAACACTCACACACCTAACTATAAATCAAAAAAAATAAAAAATAAATAAATTTGGGGCCAGAGAGATGGCTCAGTGGTTAAGAGCATTGCCTGCTCTTCCAAAGGTCCTGAGTTCAATTTCCGGCAACCACATGGTGGCTCACAACCATCTATAATGAGGTCTTGTGCCCTCTTCTGGCCTGAGGACATACACACAGACAGAATATTGTATACATAATAAATAAACATTTAAAAAAATTAAAAAAAAACTTAAACTAAAATGATTATGTCGTGTCTTTGTGTGAAAATAGCAGATACCCTCAGAGGCCAGAAGATGATATTGGATCCCCTAAAATTGGAGTTACAGGCAGTTTTGAGTTGCCAGATGTGTGCTCTGAGACCTAAATTCTCGTGTGTGTGTGTGTGTGTGTGTGTGTGTGTGTGTATAGAGCTCAGAGCTGGGTGTTGTCACTCAGTCTTATAACTCCAGCACTTGAGAGACCCAGGCAGGTGGATCTCTGTTAGTTTGAGGCCACCCTGATCTCCATAGAGAATTCCAGGCTAGCTAACGCTACATAATGAGACCCTGTCTTAAAGAAGAATAAATATAAGAAATAAAAATGTCAGAAGCTGGAAAGCTGGTTTTGTGGTTTAGAGTATGTCTTAGTGGTAAGGTTGCTTTGATGAAACGCCATGACCAAAAGCAAGCTGGTGAGGAACGGGTTTATCTGCCTTACATATCCTGAATCACGTACAGTCCGTTAACAGAAGCCAGCCAAGGCAGGAACTGAAACAGGTGGATCCTGGGAGCAAGAGCTGACGTGGAGCCCATGGAGGAGTACTGCTTACTGACTTACTCAACCTGCTACAGACCCCAGGTGTATCCCCCCAGCTCAGATGTATCCCCCCCAATGGGTGGGGCCTCTCCATCACTCACTTATTAAGAAAATCCCTGCTGGGTGTAGCCGCGTATATCTTTAATCCCAGCACTTGGAGAGGCAAAGGCAGGTGGGTCTCTGAGTTTGAGGTCAGCCAGGGCTCCACAGAGAGACCCTGCCTACATAGAAACTAAAGACTTTCCTGCTTATAGCCTAATTTTATGGAGACATTTTCTCCTGGGGTTCCCTTCTCTCAGATGACTCTAGTTTATACCAAGTTGGCATAAAACTAGGAGCCAGCGCTGATTGCATACTGCTCTTGCAAAGGACCAGAGTTTGGTTCCCTGCACCCATGAGAGGCATCTCACAACTGCCTATGATGCCAGCTCCAGGGCAATTTAAATGCCTCTGACCTTGACAGCCCTAACTCACCTACAGGCTGACTGCAGTGGACCAAATAATTCACTAAAGGGAAGGCTAGCGTCCTACCAATGCTGAAGAACTGTGGGGCTTAAGGCGACAGTATTAAGGTCTGCGGATGCTATCCGTGAGGGTGGCTGTGTGGTGTCCTCATCCTCCACTTGCCGAAAAGCAAGCAAGGCCATTCGGAGCCCTTGGCCCTGAAACTGTTACCTTTATCTACGATGGGAATAAAGGATTTGATGATGGACGTTGCCTCCTTCAGCAGAACCCCCAAATCAATGATTTTGAAGATGTGGTTGTGCACTACACTAAGCAGAAATGGGTCAGGTGACACTTGCTCAGAAGGCCCTGAGCAGGGCTGTGATGCTGGAGGACTTTGCGCATGTCCCTTTCTGGGGTGTATGTCAAAACTGAGAAATTAAGCTCAACTGACTGAAAGAATAGTACTCCCAATGAAGGAAATGTTCCTTCCAGTCCACTGTGCTGGGAAGACAGAAATGAGGCTTCATTCCCATCCTTTAAATCTGCAAAAGAAGGAGATTTGAGAGCCCCGTAATTGATGCCTTTCTTTCGTAATTGATTCCTTTCTCTGTAATCATGTATACTTCTGTAGATGCTTTTCATCTCATTAAAACCTTTCCTTGTGAATCACACACACGCGCGCACACACACACACACACACACATGCATGCATGCACACAGAAGCTGTAAATAGGATGGGCGGGAGTAGCAAACGGGAAACAGAAAACACTGAGCAGTTGTACTAAAATAAGCCACTAGAGGAAAGGACAGATCACCATGCTTTATGAAGCTAACTGACAGTAAATATTGAGTCCTCTGGCTGGCTCACCAGGACAGGCTGGTGTCTGGGACTCTTGGACTGGACACAAAGGAGCGTAAGGCTTTTAAACTCAAAATTCTGTAACCACCCTTGTGCAGCTGGGGGGTGGTCTTTACAAGTAACCGTTGATACTGTAAACATCATGTGAGGCCACACCTCCAGACTGTTTTCACACCTCAGTGTAAATCCCAGCCTCCCGCCTCCATCTTTGGAGGCCCCTCCCCTGTGCCTCTCGAACCTTGACCCCTCCCCAGGAAAGGTCAAGACCACTCCCATACACTATTTAAACTGCTCCCCAGAAAATAAACACGTGGTCTTCCCTTTTCCTCTCCGGTAGTGGTTGCGTTGGTGACTTTCCGTTCCTCTCTGGGCCACCCGGGAGCACAGCTGTCTAATTAAACTTGGATATCTTTTAATCTGGTTTGATTTGGCTTGATTTCCCAATTATTTTGCGTTGGCAGAGAGCTCGCGTTAAAAAATATTCCTAACAATCAGGACCATATCTCAGCAGAGACGGAGGGCCCTTTGGGTGGTGCAAAATCTTTAGAAAGAGGAATGAGAGGTCTTTTGTTTATTGGCAAGTGTAGCTCCTAGGGTAGGAATTGTGGAGCCTGGGCAGCCTGACCTTTCTTAAGCTATTTTAGTACCTTCTGGTGGTTTCCCCGTGAAGGAAAAGTGGATGCCCCCAAAACTTAACCATGCTGCAGCCCCACCTGGTGACGCTAGTAGGATAACAGCCCCTGTATGTCCGTAGATAGATGACCTGGAAAGAAAGATGGGGCACGGGAGGACAGGCCTAAGTGAGCATTTTCCTCTCCATGTCTTCAGATAAACCCCACTCTCTTAACACATTGAATGCCTTCTTGAAAATAGATCAGTGGGATTTGCGGTACTTTCTGCTCAGTTTACTTGTTCCACACCTCCAGCTGAACATGGCTTGTTGTGGAAGTTTGCACGGTTGGGTTTGCTCCCTCCTCTCAGACAAAATCAGAAACAATTCCTTCCCTGGACTCACAGTGATGAGTGACACTTCACCAACAGACTTGTCAGGCAGCTGTAGGGGAAGCCCTGCGCCTAAGTGACTAAGTGATGACAACATAAACAAAACTTCAGGAGGTTTGGGAACCAAAGCCACAGAGAAGTACTCCTCCCTGGGCCAAATCGCCGTCCCCTTTGGTGAGTGGAATCCTCTTGACTTCCAGATTCGGAGTCGGGTGTTTTGTGCAAATGTGAGGGTAGGCTCTTTAGAAGAAGGGGCCAGAAGGATAGCAAGATCAGATTTCCCAAGAGCGACCAAAGCCCTGAGTCAGACCTGAATCTCGAGTTTTAATGTTATTTTTATCTATTTACAAAGGGCAGTAGGGGAGCATGTGCCCAGTTCACCCGAGCCAACATCCGCAGAAAGTCCTTTACACAGACAAGCGAAAGAAGCCCCGCAAGCGTCGCACTTGGATCTTATTTCAATTTATTTTTAGTATTAAAAGCTACTGAAGCGAGTTACATGGATGCTCTCCCAGGCATTGGACATGGCTCCCTACCCTGTAAACATTTACTGTGCCTAGCAACTGCCTACCAAAGAGACCGCTCCAGGAAGGCATTTTGCAATAGAGAAACGGGTTAGCTGCTTCTAGGGCCAGCATTGCAGGGGAAAGTGGTGTTGACAGGTTGTGCCTTCGGTACAACATCATAAGAAAGGCACCAACTCCCAGAAAGCCACGAGCCAAGTCAAACTGAGAGAAAACATGACAGACGTCCCAACTGAGGATAGTGTCCCCTTTCCCTTACTGGTCCTGTTTATGATACCCACTCATATGCCCTGCTGTTTCTTCTAGCATGTCTTCTGGGAAAAGAAGCCACCATCTTGGGGAGCCTGCCTTTGCTATCCTCTAACTCTCCTGCAATCTGATGCAGTTTCCAGAGTTACCTGGGTTCCAGGGGTGCTGACCGTACCCTGGTTGTCTCTTAGGTTTGTAGTTAGCCCCTGCTGTGGCCCAGCTTCATCTCCTTTCTCAAGCAGAGGCACTGACTTAGATCCCATTTAGTTCAGAATCTCCGTTCCCATATGTGACTTCCTTTTCCTTATTCTCGTCTGCATCCTCTATGCCAGCGCACCCTGTCTGCATCCTCTATGCCAGCGCACCCTCTGGCCTGCTGTCCCCTTAGGAGGTGCACTTGACCCCTCTCTGGCCAAAGTCTCTGCCACAAATAAATTTCCTGAGACCCCCAGGGAGCTCCTTTCCTATGGTCCTCCTGGGTGTCCGGCCACTCTGCCTTTTTGCTTTGAAGGTTCCAGATAAAGACAAGAGCATCACCGAGGCAGGTTTCTAGGGCTGTGCACCACAAGAACACTTGCTGGTAGGTAGAGCCTGTCTGCCGACTTTAGAAACTGCTAGAATCTCATTGGTACTACATTGCAGAAAAAAAGCCAACAAGAAGTCATAGCTCTTCACATGAAGCCAGACTCTGGGGAAAGGCTTGCTCCGAGAGCAGGAACTCCTGGCAGTCTGCAGGCGGCAGCAGGAGATTAGAGCAGAGCGGCAGGGGTTGACCACAGCAGGGGGTGTGGGTCTAGGGGAGCCCGGGAGGCCTCCACTCATTCATCCCTCCACTCATCCCTCTGCTCTATTTCCCTGGGTAAGTGGTGTCTGGCGCCATCTAAAGCCTGCCCCCTAGCTGTTTACCTCCCTACTGATCTGTTTGTGCCTGGCCACGCCTGTGAATCAGTGTTTACAGGCAACACATTTAACTGGACACAGAACCCATCCTGGCAACCCAAGACCTCCTTTCCACAGGCTGGCAACTGTCATAACTCCAGAGCGGGCTCTGGCACTGGAGTCCAGGGAGGGGCTGGTCACTCTCCTATTTTCTCTTGTCTTGTGGCACCATGACCCCCGAGGGGGTTCTCTGCTGTAGGTAAGCAGGGGCCAAAGCAGGTGGGACCTCAGCCTTCTATTTCTATTTCTCTGCAGGCCTCTTACACAGTTGTTAGGATGCTGGACTCCTCAAGTGCCGATCAGATGACCCGGCTGACGTTGCGACTCCTGGAACAGGTAAGACAGAGCCTACCTACTGCTGTGCTCTAACCTGGAGTTCCGCTCTAATCTCCTGCCTCAAAGGCCGGAGGCAGGCTGTGCCTACCAGCAAGCATACTTCTGGGACACATCCCTATAAAACTCCTGTACCTACAGGCTCGTGTTTAAAGGGATGCTGACTGCTTCCTATGGAGATGCAACCAACATCCTGGTTGGAAAAAAACCTGGTCATGCCCACCCAGTCTTCTCTACCTTCTCAACCATCTATGACATTCTGAGTGATCGGTGACCAACATGTCTGTCCTTGCAAGAAATGATGCATAGGGCCCACGGGGACTCACACTGCCCGTGGGCAGCTTCTCCATATGCTCTGCCTGCATTATTCCCTTCTACTTCCTACCTATTACCAATCCCGGAACCCCTAGTTCAAGGCCCCAGTGGCCCTGGATACAAACCAAGGGTAGTCTCTGCAAGGGTTGCTACTCAGAAATATGTCTGGAGTATCCCTCTTGGGGTCCTTCAGGGTAACCCTTGGGATCCATAAACGTTCCCTCTTGGGACCCACCGGAGTGTCCCCTTTGGGTCCCAGCAGGGAAACCCCATGGGGTCCATCAGTGTACCCCTTGTTGTGCGCCAGGATGCTCTACTTGTATCCCATCAGCCCATCCCTTGGGGCCCCTCAGGGTACCCCTTTTGGGTTTAAGATGGCTAGCATACATTATGTTCGAGAACATGACCAGAAGAATCCGTAAGAGAATGGTGACCCTTGCTCCATTTACCCACTTGAAGAGTGCTTCTTGCCCTCTGTACTTCCTTTTGGGTGCTGACCACCCCCAGAGCTTTCGGAATATCTGCTGCATAGGCGGGTGGGCTGTGCAGACTCCACTCACCAACCTGGAGCCAAGTCCCCATCACAGATTCTTCCTCACAGATGCTGGAACAGGAACGAGAAAGCATGGACAGAGCAGGTAAGTGTTCTAAGATGCCTGGGCACATACAGGTAGGAAGGAGAACCAACCAGAAGAGCGGCAGGCAGAGCAGGCCCTGGCTTTTGTTTTTACCTGTAAAACAACATACACGCATGCACAAACACACAAACACACAAACACACACATGCACAAACACACAAACACACAAACACACAAACACACATGCACAAACACACACACGAACACATGCACACACATTCGCAATCACACACGCATGTGCGCACACACACACACGCACATACGAATACACCCACGCTGGCAAGCACACATGCTGACCCCTTAGCCAGCTGGCTCTTAGAGGGAATGTATCTTGTCGCTGAGAAAATGTAGGCACAGAAAGGTCAGGTGACAAACCTCAGATTGCTCAGTGCAGAAATTGTCCCAACCAATTAATTCCAGGGATGGGCAGAGCCTCAGTCTTATCCTTCTCAACACCTGGGACCGGAATATAGGTTTATGGACATCTGAATGGGGATCCGAGGCTAGAGGAGCATATCTTATTCTTTAGAACATGGAATATTCATGGTTCTGGGTAACTCTGGGAACACTGAAGGCAGCTAGCTGAACCTGGGAGCCCTCAAATCTAGATGGAAAATGGCAAACCAGGCCACATGATCCAGGGGACCTACACACAACCCAATGGCCACAAATGTACCAGAGGGCATCCCAGGTAAAGCTTCCAGAGAAGCCAGCCCTGGCATCACAAATATCCCAGTTCCAGTAGAATGTCAGGGCAAGCCGACCCCTTTCAGAGCTTTCTCTGGAGTAAGACCCGCTCCTCCACATTGGTGAGCATGCTTGTCTTTTGTACAGCTTAGGGCCAGGGCTATGGAGGCTAGAGAGATCTGTTCTACTGACTTTCAGTGCCTTTCAGAACCAAGAAGATCCACTGGGCTGACTCTAACCAAGCCTTCCCCTCTTTACCCTCCCTAGCCCTGGTCCTTCCTTCTTTGGGATGGATGTTTATAACAGACCTGAGCTCAGGAGCTCAGGAGGCTCCAGGCTACTCTGAACCCTAGGGTGCAGGAAAGTTGGGGCACTCTACCAGAGACAGCAGCCAGAATATTTCTCAGTGATGTGTGCCTTCTCCACCCAGGACAACAGGAAAAGCCAGACACTGCTCTGCAGAATGCTTTGAGGAGAAGGAAGGACCTTCTACAGAGACTCTGGGTAGGCCTGCACCCTCAGCTAAGCCTGGGCCTGACTCTCCGTGGGCTAATACACTGGCTCGGAGACTCCAATTAATGTTTGTCTGAACTCTTGAGATCAATTAGCTAATGTTTACACACTGGGGGCTGGTAACTGAATGGTGAGCATTAAGAGACTAACACTCCCAGCCCATCACTTCCCTGAGGTAAAGGGTCAGGTATAGGCAGTATGTGAGCTTAGAAACTGCTTAGGCCACTGCCACAGAGCAGGCAATGAGCCAAGGTCCATTGCCATAGGGCGTGGAGCTCACATGAACTAAACTGGCCAGCAGCAAGAAGAGACCGTGCCTAGAAGCATCTGTATGGGTGTTATCCCCATAATCCCCTTAGCCAAGAGATTTGCTCTTTCTGCATTGGGCAGATGCCAAAATGCATGAAGAACCATTAGATTGTTGGCTGGGAAACAGCAACAACCGGAAACTCATTACAAGTATTTGGTATATGCTAAGAGAAGCAGAATTTCCAAATATTTACCAAGGAGTATTATTGAACTTGGGGTCACAACCTGTGCCTCAAGTTCAGCTTGGCCATTCATTCTCAATAAGCCAATTAAAAGTCAAATTATCAGTGGAAAGCAGAAAAAATGATTTATTCATTATGGTCTCATTGAGAAGAGAGACAAGGAGATCCCTAATTCCAGGGTCCACACTGAACATTTGGGTGCCATAGTCCCTGGCAGGGATGAGGATGGGAAAAGCATACTGGTTAGAGCCTGTTCACCCAGTGAGGTTCATAGGTCTCTGCTGGTGGCTTTATAACCAACAGGCTGCCGATCTTTTAGGAACAGCAGTTGGTGAATGAGCACTCCCCAGTCCACGCCTGGAGGAGGGCACAGGAAAGAACCATGGCGCCAGCCCTGAACCCAGAGGTGCCTCCCGTGGATGTCTTCCCTGCTGCCTCCCTGCCTTTGCCCCAACCCCCAGAGCCACAAAGGATCATCCAGCACCCGGTAGGATTCCTGGGTCACAGCAGCTTCTAGCAGGGTAGGAGGGTCAGAACTGAGAATTCAGAGCAATGCAGAAGTACACTGTGTTGCCCGCAGTCCATCCAGTCAGGGAGGGCAGAGGTAATTCTCTCTCATCCCTCCAACGTACAGGGAGGGAGGCCGAGAACTCTCCCATGTCTTTTCCAGGGGTCCCAGCAGGATGCCAGTGCTCTGGAGAGGCTCACTCTGTTCAGAGCCAATAGCAGCTTCATTTGCTGCCCATGGCACCATAGGTCACCCAGGGAAAGACTGGAGGACTGGCGTGGGGATGGCTACCCTCTCAGGACAGACTCCTACTAGACCAACCTAACAGCTGCATTGGAAGGACTGGGGGAGTTTAGCCCCAGTGGGCCCTGAATTCACAGCCTTTTAATACTTCTCGGTGACTCGGGATGTTTGAGACCCTGGCTTAGGGACAGAGCTACAAACAGCAGAATATACCATTCTGTGTGGCCCCCACACAGCATTCTGAGTCACAAGCAAAAGAAACTCAACCATCTTAAGCAAATGATAGTTATTTTTAATTGTATGTATAATTAGTGTGTGCATGTGATGCATCTATGGGGCATACGCACCATAGTGTGTATGTGGAAGTCAGAGCCAATACTGTGGAATGGGTTCTGTCCTTCCACTGTGATATGGGTTCTGGGGATCAAAGGCAAGTGGCCAAGCCTCTTGCTGAGTACCTTTATCTACTAAGCATCTTGCTGGCTCAGAAAGAATGTTCTTAAGCAGAAGGGGTAAGAGGCTCAGGTGAGGCCTTTGTTTGGGATCAGTATGAGGGAATGCAGGAATGAGGAGAATAGGCACAGAAGAAAACGTTCTAGACATGTTAGTGACCTGGAAGACATCTTCCCTATGGGCAGGAAAACTGGCAGCAGCACTTAGCAGAGGGTATGGATCCCACAGAACTCCCTTTGCTGGTGAGCTATCTGTACCCAGGTTCCAGATGTTCCAGCCTGTGTTTCTACCTGCTGTCAGGAACATCATGTTTGTGCGGCGCACGCCTTTAATCCCAGCACTAGGGAGGCAGAGGCAGGCGGATCTCTGAGTTTGAGGCCAGCCTGGTCTATAAGAGCTAATTCCAAGATGGGCTCCAAAGCTACAAAGAAACCCTGTCTCGAAAAATCACAGCCACAGCCACACACAGCCACACACACACACACACACACACACATACACACACACACACAAAGACAGGGTGGGTCTCACTGTATATCCTTGGCTAGCCGGAACTCACTCAGGCTGACCTCACCGTATAGACCATGCCTCCTGGCCCTGCCTCCCAAGTGCTGAGATTAAAACCATGCACCACCACCTGGTTTCGTGTTCTCACATGTCTGCAGGCAAATAGAGGAAAAACACTTTGTAACACAGGAAGACACAGTTCAATTTTCATGAAAAAGTTACGGGTTAGGATGCATGTTGATGTCCGTCTGTGACTGCTCGCATTTTTAACAGCTGAGCCCACGTGGCCCATGAGCCCTAATTCACTCCATCTCTGGGTAGAAAACTCCCAAGTCTGGTCTAGGCCACCGACTCTGAATAGATAGAAGAGGCAAGTTCATTCAAGACTTGCAACGAGGAGTAAACAATTCTTTCTGGTGTTTGCTTGAAATTGCTACTTATTTACCTCACTCAGAAGAGAAACTAGAGGCTAAGAGTGCACAAGGTTGACATTCCTGTCCTGTGTATGGAGAGCTGTAGCAATCAGCAAAGTTGGGAACGGCACTACTATAGACCAGCCACTGGAAGAGACTTGTGAACACCCGACTTTCATCAAGCAGGTTTACCCTAGACTCTCGACACCATGAAATTCCACCATACTCCTCTTAAAATGCATAAATGTTAACAGACTGGACACATCAAATGTTAAATCTATTAAAGCGAAATTAACCAGGCATTAACTACCTTCCTGAAGGTAGGAAATATGAGAATCATTAAAAATATCATGTACATGCTGCATGCGGTGGTATATATTTACATCTTATACTCTGTAGTCAGAGGCAGAAAGACCAGTATGAGTTCAAGGCCAGTCTGGTCTACTTGGTGAATTCTATGCCAGGTGGAGCCACACAGGGGGACCTGGTCTCAAAAACAAAACAAAACCAAGTCCTAACCAGATGTAAAAAAAAAATTCTATGCAATTGTTTATTTAACTTACAGTGTTAATCATTTAAATTTCTCTTTAGATGGATGATAGATGGGGGGATGGGTGAATGGGTGGGTGGATGGGGTGGATAGGTAGGAGGACAGATAGATGGAAGGGGTGTGTAGACTGATAACTGACTGGGTGGATGGATAGTTAGTTAAGTGTGCAGATGGATGGATGGAGGAGCCTTGTGAAGTTTGTACATTCACATAGCTAACCAACTGGCCTTCTTAGGTCCTGCAGCCTCCTGCCACCATCATTCAACAGCTACCCCAGCAGCAGCCATTGATTGCACAGATTTCTCCTCCTCAGGTCTTTCCCACTCAAAGATCGGGAAGTATCAAGGAAGGTACGTATGTGTTCTACATTGCTATTACTTTATTTTTTAATATTTATTTATTATGTATACAACATTCTGCCTCCATGTATGCCCACATTCCAGAAGAGGGCACCAGATCTCATTACAGATGGTTGTGAGCCACCATGTGGTTGTTGGGAATTGAACTCAGGACCTCTGGAAGAGCAGCCAGTGCTCTTAATCACTAAGCCATCTCTCCAGCCCCTTGCTATTACTTTAGGTTTGTGAAATTATACACTGAAAGGAAAAGTATAGCATGGTTAATAAAAACCCAGAGACAGATTCTGGGGTCCAACCTGAAGGTCAGAAAAACAAAACAGCCAGTCATTGGCTCTTCCCTCTACCTCAGTCTGAAATGGCGATCCTGCCTCCAGGAATCTCAGAATGAGACTGTGTGTGAGAGCTGCCCTCTCCCATCTTATATTCCTCTCTAGGGTGGGATTGAAGGTTTGCACCACTACCACCTGGTTTCTATGGCAAACTAGTGTGGTTACTGGGATTAAAGGTGTGTGTCACTAATGCCTGGTCTGTAAGGCTGACCAGCGGGGCTTTTTTTTAACTCTCTGATCTTCAGGCAAGCTTTATTTATTAAAATACATATAAAATATCACTACAGGAACGTATTTTTGGTTTTTTTTTTTTTTTTTTTTTTTTTTTTTTCGAGACAGGGTTTCTCTGTGGCTTTGGAGCCTGTCCTGGAACTAGCTCTGTAGACCAGGCTGGTCTCGAACTCACAGAGATCCGCCTGCCTCTGCCTCCCGAGTGCTGGGATTAAAGGCGTGCGCCACCATCGCCCGGCGAGGAACGTATTTTTGTAAGTAGGTGTTGTGTGATACTTTTCCTGGTGAGGTGCAACAGAAATATCTATTCACACCAGAAGGAGAACCACTAACAGACAATACCACTAAGGTCTAACTTGATGAATCAATGAGTTTATTGGAGTTACTTACAGACAGTGAAAAGGACAGCCAGATCACCAAAAGTTCATCCCAGGGTGGGTAATGACTCATGAAAGTTTGGATCCCAGAGCTCTAGAAATCAGTAGGTCAAAGAGTCTCTTCCGGGCAGCTTGGCTGGTCTGAGCCCCTCAGCAGTCCTTACTGCTCATGTAACTGTGGAAGGAGGTACTTTGTGTATCTAGCACATTTTGAAGACTTCCTGAGACTTGTGAGTTGTTTACTTTCTGCTTCTGTCGGGCTTTGATCTGTTGGAGGCTTGTATGAACTAACAGAGGATTAGATGCCTTTTCTGGAGGCTGGGGGCTGTAGGAGCAGGTAAGAAACGGCTTTTCCAGGCAAACAGAAGCCCACTTCACAAGGTTTGTGAGGAACACTGAGTGTTTAGCATTGGTCAGAGGCCAGATTGAATTGAGCCCAGATTGTCCTTTTAGAGGAGTTGAGACCTGACACTTCCTAAGCAATTTTTTTTTGTTTGTTTTGTTTTTCGAGACTGGGTTTTCTCTGTGGCTTTGGAGCTTGTCCTGGAACTAGCTCTGTAGACCAGGCTGGTCTCGAACTCACAGAGATCCGCCTACCTCTGCCTCCCGAGTGCTGGGATTAAAGGCGTGCGCCACCACCGCCCGGCCCTAAGCAATTTTTTGAAAGGATTTTTGTTCTGTGTCTGCGTGTTTTGCCAGCATATATAACAGTGTGCCATGGTCATGCATTGCTCTCAGAGGCTAGAAGAGGGCATCAGGTCTCCCGGAAACTGGAATTACAGATGGTTGTTAGCTCTCATATGGATGCTGGGAATCAAATCCATGCCCTCTGAAAGAACAGACAGTGCCACTGAGCTTTCCAAACCACTGAGCCATTTCTCCAGGCACATGTTTTATTTTTGATTACATTTATTTAGCCATGGGGGCGGGAGTGTATTCATACCACATTGTACAAGTGAAGGCCAAATGGAAAGCCAGGCAGGTTACCTTGGTGACATCAGACTCAATAATAATTCCAATACAATTGTTCTTTGCTCTCTGGAAATAGAGAGCATAGTCAAAATAACTCCTATAAAAGACCATAATTCCTTCATACTCAAATCCAAAGAAAAGTATTTATTTATTTATTTTTGGTTTTTTGAGACAGGGTTTCTCTGTGGTTTTGGAGCCTGTCCTGGAACTAGCTCTTGTAGACCAGGCTGGTCTCGAACTCACAGAGATCCGCCTGCCTCTGCCTCCCGAGTGCTGGGATTAAAGGCGTGTGCCACCACTGCCCGGCCTAGAAAAGAATTTAAAAGCCTAGTTTGAGCTATTACTTTCTCCTCAGCACTATATAAACCAGGTACAGTTGCTGTGGGATAATGCTCTTGTACCCTGTAAAGATTTGTCAATCGTAATAAAATGGTTTAATAAAATGCTGAAAGGCCAGTAGCCAGGCAGGAAGTATAGGTGGGGCAGCCAGACTAGGAGAATTCTGGGAAGAGAAAAGGCAGAGAGTCAGTTGCCACTCAGACAGAGATGAAGCAAGATGAAGATGCCACACTGAGAAAAGGTACCAAACCACATGGCTAAACATAGATAAGAATTATGAGTTAATGTAAGTTGTAATAGCTAGTTAATAATAAGCCTGAGCTAATAGGCCAACCAGTTTATAATTAATATAGGCCTATGTGTGTTGTGTTGGGACTAAACAGCTGTGGGACTGGCAGGACAGAAACTTCTGTTTACAATAGTGACATATCTGTAATCCCAGTACTTAGGCTCTAGAGGTGGGAGAATCAAAAGTTCAGAGTCATCCTTGGCTACATAGTGAGTTTGAGGTCAACCTGGGCTGCATGAGATACATGAGACCTTTTTCTTAGAAGACAAAAAAGCAAAACATCAAAACCAACCCAACAGCCAGGCTTCATGGCACACACCTCTTCCTCTCTTTCTCTCTCTCTTTTATTTTTTGAGACAGACTTTCTCTGTTCTCTGTAGGTTTCTTTTTTTTTTTGGTTTTTCGAGTCAGGGTTTCTCTGTGGTTTTGGAGCCTGTCCTGGAACTAGCTCTTGTAGACCAGGCTGGTCTCGAACTCACAGAGATCCGCCTGCCTCTGCCTCCCGAGAGCTGGGATTAAAGGCGTGCGCCACCACCGCCCGGCTCTCTGTAGGTTTCTACAGAGCCTGTCCTGGAACTAGCTCTTGTAGACTGTGCTGACCTCGAACTCACAGAGATCCACCTATCTCTGCCTCCTAAATGCTGGGATTAAAGGTGTGCGCTGCAACCACCCAGCAGACCACAACAACTCTTATAAAGGAAAACATTTAATGGAGTGTCTTATAGTTTCAGAGGTTTAGTCTGTTTATCATCATGGTGGGACATAGTGTCATACAAGCTGACATGGTGCTGGAGAAGGAGCTGAAAGTGGAGAAAGCTACATCTTGATCCCACAAGCAACAGGACATGATCTGAACTAGGCTGTATCTTGAGCATAGGAGACCTCAAAGCTCGCCCCCCACAGTAACACACTTCCTCAAAGGCCATGCCTACTTCAACAAGGCCACACCTAACAATGCCACTCCCCATGGAGTTTATGGTAGCCAATTACATTCAAACGACCACAGATGCATACTATAGTGGTGTGAATAAAATGGCACTGTTGACTACAGCAAACAATTAAGAACAATTAAGAGGGTTTTTTTTTTCCGAGATAGGGTTTCTCCGTAGCTTTTTGGTTCCTGTCCTGGAACTAACTCTTGTAGACCAGGCTGGTCTCGAACTCACAGAGATCCGCCTGCCTCTGCCTCCCGAGTGCTGGGATTAAAGGCGTGCGCCACCACCGCCCGGCAAGAGGTTTTTTTTTATTGTTTGTTTTTGTTTTACTGAGACAGTGTTTCTCTGGGTAACTCTGACTGTCCTGGAGCTAGCTCTTGTAGACCAGGCTAGCTTTGAACTCACAGAGATCTGCCTGCCTCTGCCTCCCAAGTGCTGGGATTAAAGGCGTGCTCCATCACTGCCCAGCAAGAGTTGTGTTTTTTTTTCCTTTTTTCTTTTTCAAGACAGTGTTTCTCTGTGTAGCTTTGGAGCCTATCTTGAAACTTGCTCTGTAAATCAGGTTGGCCTCAAAATCACAGAGATCCACCTGCCTCTACCCCATGAGTTTTAGGATTAAAGGCATATGCCACCACTGCCTGGTGCCTGTTTTTAACAAACATAAGGAGCAATCAGTTTTAGAGCAGAGACTATCATCAGGTGCCAACATATGAATAAGCCCTGACTCTCCTTTCAGACATGGTAGAGATGATGCTAATGCAGAATGCCCAGATGCACCAGATCCTCATGCAGAACATGATGCTCAAAGCCCTGCCCCCTGGGCCCACAGGGCCACGTGCCGCTACCCTCCAGGTAGGTTTGGGGGCTGAGATTCAGTCATTGGCTGGGGGCGGGGTTGCTCCTGGGTACCTGTGCATGCATCTCTGGCTTGTGGGTATGTGGTGAAGGTGATGGGGAGCAGGTAAGGTAGCTGGGGCACAGAGAACCCTAAGCCCAGGATGTACTCCCATCACAGTCTGCTGCCCTTCTCACCAATGTGGGCCCAGGCATAGGGAAAGGATGCTGCCGTCCTGACCTGGCTGTGTACTCTGCCAGGACCCACGATGGGCGCACCACGGAGTCTTGCGAGCTGAAAAGCAGAAGCCACCCCCAGTGCACCACCACCACCACTATGCACCCCCTGCCCCGCTGCAGGCTGCCTCCACAGCTGGCGCCCCTTCGGGATATCCGGGGTGGCCTCCAGTGGTGGCGGCTACCGCCCTCCCACATGCAGCCAGCTTCTTGCCCACTGTGAGCCACCTGACTGAGCCAACTACTTCCCATCCCAGCTACCCGTAGCACATACGCCTGGAGGGAGAAAGCTAGTGTTTTGCAGCAGGTAAGTGGAAGGATGGGCCTGGCCACCTCTCCTCCATGTATGCCAACAAGCACACGCATCCTGTGGTCAAGCCAATGCACTGTGGCAGATTGGAAGGAGCCAGAAAAAAAAGTCAGCTGCAGATCTCAGCACCAGTTGTCAAGCCTGCAGAGCCTGTCACCCCTGGGAAGGCTATGCCTTAGATCTTTGGGCAGTCCAGCAGGACTGGTCCCATAAAGTGTCCTTCACCTCAGCCCAGGTCCCACAGCACCCCTCATTCGACACCCTTGATTTTCTCACAGAGCTGCACTGAAAACCATGCTGCCTTTCCAGGTGTGCCAGGCCATTCGCCTATCTCAGTAAGCATCATGGTCTTCTAGGCTTGATTACTCTCCATGGCCATCTGGGAAAGCTAGGAGACTGAGGCCTCACCCAGGGGAAACACAAACATTTTATTATGAAAGACTTGTCAGAAAAACAGTTCCAGATCAGAATCCATCATTACAGCTGCAAACCCATTTTAACATTCCTGTGGAAGGTTGCAGTAAGAGTAAAGTGAGGCCGGAGACATAACTCAGTGGTAGACAGCTTGCTGAACACGGGTGAGGCCCTGTGTTATGTCCTTGATGTGTTACACCTGCCCACTCGCAAACCAAGAGAAAGACCTGATGATCATGCCTGGAGTGATCACTTCATTCCAATGTGAGAGAAGCAAGCTGAAGAATGTGTGATGTGCTTTCTTTTCAAATATCCAGGGTCAACAAGGTTGCATAGTAGTTAAAGGTGCTCGCTGTCAGTCAAGTCTGATAACTGAGTTTTAGCCTCAGGACATGGTGGGTGGGAGATGGGGAACGAGGACCAACTTCTGCAGGCTGTCACTCTTGCCTCTACGACTGCATTGCATTGCTGCACTGTGGTGTGCATACACTCCAACACCATCGCTGATTAAGTGCAATTCAAAATAAAATAAGGAGCTGGGCACAGTGGCACACACCTTTAGTCCCAGCACTAGAGAGGTGGAGGCAGGCAGATCACTAAGATCGAGGCCAGCTTGGTCTACATAGTTCCAGGACAGCCAGAGTTGCACAGAAAAGCCCTGTTTCGGAAAACAAGAAAGTGCTGGAGAGATGGCTCAATGGTTAGGAGTTAAGGCCATTTGGTGCTCTTGAAGAAAACTCCGGTTCAATTCCCAGCACATGGCAACTCATGTCTGTAACTCAGTTCCAGGGTCTTTAATGTCCTCTTCTGATTTCCATGGGTATCAGGCAAACACATGGTACACAGACACACACACAAGTAAAATACTCATACTCATAAAATGTTAAAATCTTAAGAACAAGAAACATGTGTAAGGTATGAACATGTGTGGCCTGCAGGCTGAGTAAATATGGATGGATTCGGGCGGTGGTGGTGCACGCTTTTAATCCCAGCACTCGGGAAGCAGAGGCAGGTAGATCTCTGTGAGTTTGAAGACAGACTGGTGTACAAGAGCTAGTTCCAGGACAGGCTCCAAAGGTAGAAATCCTGTCTTGAAAAATAAAAATAATAATAAAAAAGAATCAAGTAATAATAAATATATAAACAAATAAATAAGGATGATTCATACACTGTCTACAAGGAATTTTTCTAAAAGCCGCAAACAGCCTGGCCCGTGCCTCCTCGAGGGAGATGATCGTTTTCCCCGTCCCGTCTGTACTCTGGTCCTGGTAGATTTCTTTTCACATGTGTGTGCATGCTTCCTTGATTTTCTGGTGTCTCTTTTGTTGTTTTGGTAAAATTGGTTTCCTTTTTGGTTTTGGTGTTGGTTGGTTTCTGAGTCCAGGCTGACAACAAACTTACAATCCTGTTTTAGCTTGGCTGCTGCTAGGGTTTCAGACATGTACAATCATGCCTGTCTCCTTTGTTGAGACAGGGTCTTACAAGTAGACTAGGCTGACCTTAAATCAAATTCAGTGAGCTTCACCTGCCTCTGGCCTCTGAGAGCGTGTAGTGCCATCTGTAGGCGGAGACTGCTCGTTTGTTTCCCCTACTGCTTCGAAACTGCATTAATTACAACACTGTTCAACCAATGACTCAGGCATATTTTTAGCTAGCTCTTACATCTTGAATTAACTTGTTTCTATTAATCTATGTATCGGCATGAGGCTGTGGCTTACTGGTATGGAACCAGCACCTATCTCCTTTGGCACCTACATGACGTCTCTGACTCTGCCCACTTTCTCTCTGTATCTGTTTGGATTTCCCTCCCGGCTCTGCTGCACTAAGCAGAAAAAGCTTTATTCATTAACCAATGGTAATAAAACATATTCACAGCATCCAGAGGGGAATCCCACATCAAGTGCTGAGACTAAAGGTATGTCTAACCATGCCTAGCTTCCTAGTTGTTTTAATGGTTTTTGTTTGTTTGTTTTTTTTTTTTTTTTGCTTTTTCGAGACAGGGTTTCTCTGTGGTTTTGGAGCCTGTCCTGGAACTAGCTCTTGTAGACCAGGCTGGTCTCGAACTCACAGAAATCCGCCTGCCTCTGCCTCCCGAGTGCTGGGATTAAAGGCGTGCGCCACCACCGCCCAGCTGTTTGTTTGTTTTTTGAGACAAGGTTTATTACGTGGCTCTGGCTGTCCTGGAACTCAATATGTAGACCAGGCCAGTCTACACTCACAAGCTCTGCCTCCTGAGAGCTTGGAGTGCACCACCACCCCTGGCTTAATGTTTTGTTTTTAAAGATTTATTATTTGTGATAGTGGATTGAACACAAGGTTTTGAGCACACTAGCCAAGTACTCTTCCACTAAGTTAATATCCATCTCCTCTTTACCATTTTGAGACAACATTTCACTGAGTTGCTCAAGCTGGCCTCAAACTTGTAATTCTGCTGTCTTGGCCTCTCTAGTAGTTGGGATCACTGGAGTGCTACATTCCACCTGCCTTTACAGATGCTATTTTCAAGTATTAAAGGAAGCTCTCATTTGCTACATTCCTCACCAAAAAGCTGGTCCCTACTTTTGAATCCTTGGATCATTACAGGTCAGAGGCAAGATGATTCAGAGTTGCCAGTTAGCCCCGGGTGGACCTTCCCTGTGACTGACCTGGCTACCACACAGTGAAGACAGTGATGTGATGTCCCTGTGGATGAACAAGTCAATGCAACACACTCCCAAGAGCTTCAGGGAGGTGACATCCACTTCCTACAGAACCATCTTTCAGTGTCCCTTAGGATGTGATTCCAGAGAATTTTGTTTTTGTTAAAAGCATCAATTAAAGACCTCACACAGTTTCCTTTCTTCATGATGATTTCTGACATGATCTTTCTCTCATATAATTATTAGTTTGATGGCAACACATTGATAGAACTTACATGTTTCTTTTCTTAGGAATGGCCTAGAACTGCTGTTTATAATAATTAAGATAGCTTTTTTTTTTTTTTTTGGCTTTTCGAGACAGGGTCTCTCTGCGGTTTTGGAGCCTGTCCTGGAACTAGTTCTTGTAGACCAGGTTGGCCTCGAACTCACAGAGATCGCCTGTCTCTGCCTCCCGAGTGCTGGGATTAAAGGCGTGCGCTACCACTGCCCAGTTCTAAGATAGCTTTTTAAACAGAGCAAGAGCCAACTTGACACCTCCTTGGTACTTCCTGAAGCCAGTTTCCACTCATGGAATTGAGCTTCCGTGTGGGCCAAAGTCACCCAGGCCAGCATGATCAGCAGAGATCCATTCTGGAGGGGCAGGACTCCATCCAACAATGTCTCCAGCTCACAGTATTGAAACATTAGTAGAGGCCCTTGGTCAGGGGCTGGAGGCTGGCTCCGGTGCAGCGATTCAGTTCCTCCAGCACCAGTTTCTCTTGGTTGTACATCTAGAACACAGCAGCACACAAGCTGATAAGAGGGCACTTCTGGGACCCTTATCCCCAGTCACACTCCTCCCTGTACCTCCTGCAGAGGCCCCCATCTCAACACCACACAAGTCTAAGGGCAACACCCGAACAGAGACTGAAAGAGCTATGGGTGGACAGGAGCTACAAAGGAATAAGGACAACAGAGAGGGGACCCTCAAAGGGTTGGGGGAGAAGCTTGGATACCCAAGAGTACCAGGGAAGTGTTGGGAAGCGAGGGAGTGGGCAAAGAAAGGACTGGGTGGGAGCAGAGCCAGAAGGCGGTCTACTTTTAACTGAAGAAAGAACCAGTTCATTCATGGGGACTGGAGAGAGAGCCTAGCAGTTAAGAGCACTTGCTGCTCTTACAGATGCCCTGGGTTTGGCTCCCAGCATTCACATCAGGCAGCTCACAACCACTGTATCTCCAGTTCCAGGAGATCAATTTCCTCCTCTGGCCGCTACAGGTACCTGCACACACAGTACGCATAGACTCATGAAGGTACAGACACATAAACAGAGAATCTTTTTTTTTTAAAGTTTATTTCAAGTAATAGACTATTTGCTTGCAGATATAACCTAAGCCTATTAGATGCCATAGTGGGCTTTATAAACGTGGCACTCATCAGCCTTTAGAAACAAAGGAAATACGCCGGGGGGGGGGGGGTGGGGGGGGGTGGGGGGGGTGGGGGGGGTGGTGCACGCCTTTAGTCCCAGCACTTGGGAGGCAGAGGCAGGCAGATCTCTGTGAGTTCAAGGCCAGCCTGGTAAACAAGAGCTAGTTTCAGGACAGGCTCCAAAAGCTACAGAGAAGCCCTGTCTTGGAAAAAAAAATCAAAAAACCAAACAAACAAACAAACAAACAAAAACAAAACAAAAACCCAAAGGAACCATTACTTCAAATTACCTGTAGCCAACTGATAAGGAAAGGTTTTTTTGTTGTTGTTTTTCTATGTGTGAGGTTTTTCTAAACATTAAATATATCTTGACTCCCACTAATAATAGCTAGCATAGCTAGCACTTCAGGGAATTTAACATTTAATCTGTTTAAGGAACCAGATACTTAAAACAGTATGTCATCTTTATCTTTTGAGATAGGGTTTCCTTCGTTGCCCTGGTTGTCCTGGAACTAGCTTTGTAGACCAGACTGGCCTTGAACTTACAGAGATCCTCCTGCCTCTGCCTCCCTTCCCCCAAGTGCTGGGACTAAAGGTGTGTACTACCACCTACTACCTCATCTTTTTAGGCCAGATGGATGGAAGCCATAGTTTCTGCTTCTTGTCATAGGGTTCATGGGGCTGGATGCCTCGAGGTTAGGGTTACATCTGTGGATAGCACATGGCCCCTTGCACAGGTATTGCCCCTACCTTTTGCCACTCGATCTCAGAGTTGTGGGTGAAGCCCAGGAGGTGACAGAGTCCATGAGTGGCTGTCACCTGTTGGAGCAAATGAGAAGTCAGCTCAGGGGGTGATCTACCAGAAACCTGCCCCTTGAGGGTCACAGACTACCCTTGTAAGACTGAGTTATCCTGTGCCAGGACAATGGGGTAGCTAGTCGCTTCACTGTGCAGGAGTTAAAACACCTCAGTTCCCTCCTGTCTAGTCAAGTGCTCACCATTGACCTACGTTCCAACCTCAGTTCCTCCCTGCCTAGTCAAGTGCTCACCATTGATCTACGTTCCAACCTCAGTTCCCCCCCTGCCTAGTCAAGTGCTCACCATTGATCTACGTTCCAACCTCAGTTTCCCCCCCTGCCTAGTCAAGTGCTCACCATTGATCTACGTTCCAACCTCAATTCCCTCCTGTCTAGGCAAGGGCTCACCACTGAGCTACATTCCAACCTTAGTTTCCTTCTGTCTAAAATGGAACATTTGGGCTGGAGAGATGGCTCAGAGGTTAAGGACACTGGCTGTTCTTCCAGAAGTCCTGAGTGAAGAGGCTAAACTTAACATCAGTGAGGCCATGACAGGCTACAGAGTAACAATACTGGGACTGGGCCTCATCATTACAATAACCAGGAAAAGCCACAGACTGTACCCTGCAGGGGACCAAACAGACTTGAGACAAACAAGTATGAGATGCTCCAGAACATTGAGAATAGCTTACCTAACCTGCATATAGGTTGCCAATTTCCTTACAGCAATGCCAGTACCAATCCCTGTTTGACCAGATTTCTGTTACCTTACTCCTGCCCAATTGGGAGTTCGAGCCCCATCTGAATCCAGAATTCCCCTACCTGCTTATCCTTTACTCCTTAAAACCCTGCCATAGCTGAGCTCAATGATCCAACTGCTGTGTCAGAACGGATGGAGGGACCAAGCTCAAGCTTGCAATAAAGGCTTTTTGCTTTTGCATAAGAACTCAGACTCCTGGTGGTCTCTGGGGGGCTCATGGTGCAGGCATAACACTAAGTTCAATTCCCGGCAACCACATGGTGGCTCACAACCATCTATAATGTGATCTGCAGGCAGAACACTATATACATAATAAATAAATCTTAAAAAAGTAAGATGAAATAATATGGAACATTTTACACAGTTCATTTAATTAGTGTGGAGCATCACTGCTTGGGACTGCACACAGGTAAAGAGAGAGTTGACTGTCCCTGGTAGGGCAATCTTGGCTATCCAATTAGAACTAAGCAGGAGGGAAGGGTGGCTTATGGTTGCAGTTTCAGATCTAGGATGCTGAGGGAAGGACTGATTGGACCAAAGAGGTCAAGACCAGCCTGGGCAATGTAGTGACTATCTATCTATCTATCTATCTATCTATCTATCTATCTATCTATTATTTTAAAATTGTATGTATGTGTCTGTGTATGTACAAATGAGTACAGATGCCCTGGGAGGCCAGAAGAGGACACTGGATTCCCTGGAGCTGGAGTTACAGGCAGCTGTGAAACACCCCATGGGTGCTAGGACTAGAACTCAGGTTCTCTGGAAGAACAGTGCGTCCTATTAATCACTGAGCCATCCCTCCAGCCTGAACCTATATCTCTTAAAAAAAAAAAGTTAAACAGCAAGGAGCGGCTAAATAGAAGAAAGGGGAAGGTGGGAACAGGGCTGACAATTGCTAATCTATAATACCATGGTACCTGTAGATACTAGCGTACCTTCTCAGCCTTCTCTATGGCTTGAGTTTTGTTAGTGAGTATATGCCATTTTGCATTGCCACTTACCGTAAGGATGTCATAGAAATCTTCGTTTTCTCTGCACTGATGGAAGATATACTCCACACCCAGAAAAACATCTCCCAAATTATAGTCATCTGGCGAGTGTGGCTGAGGAAATTCCCCTGCTTGCAGATTCTGAAAATGAGGAGAGTTGGAGGCCTTTCAAACAGTAGCCTAACCCCAAAGACTTGGCTCACTTGCCCAGCAGAGGACATGGAAATCTTGACCACAAGATGGATGCTCAGATGCTCTAACCATGTCATGGAGGCTAAATACCATCAAAGAGGCCGAGGGAGGGACTGCATAGTTATCACACACAATGGCCCTCACATGCTTTGATTTCATCGCATTATTCCATTTCTTTTATCCTTACCAAAGTAATTCACATTCTGTATCGTTAAATTGGCATATGGACACAGTTACATTCTTTCCCACTTGTCTGCCTCTATTTTCTTCCTGCTAAGGAAATCGCGTTACACTGTACCTTCTACATTCTTTGGATTCTCTTCTGTAGGTGTGACATGGGTAGATCATGACATATACATTTTAAGTCTTTGTAACACTGATAACTTTCAATTTGCTTTCCAAAAGGATTATTCCAATTTATGCGGCTAACGAAGGGTAAAGGTGTTTACATAATGTAGCTACTTGTAGCTATCACAAGGTATCTGTTGAAACTGTTTACCACTTTTTACTGTGCATTTTTCTACCCAAGCATTTACTACTGAGGTACACTTATAATTTGAAAGGCCCTTACTTGAATTCCCTGACAGCACAGAGGGAGGAAGGCAGCTCCTGCATAGAGGAATTGTGATGTTTAGGGACAGACATACTTAACGGGCATGGGTCATAGGTCATATTGCTTCACTTCTTTTGTTTTTATTTGCTTGTTTCTGAGGCAGAGTCTTGTGATTGTCTTGGTTGTCAACTTGACTATATTTGGATTGAACTACAATCCAGGAAAGGAGGGAACACCTGTGATCCAGATCTCGAGGCTGGAATACACACGATTTTAATCCTGATCTTGAAGTGAGAAGACACACCTTTAATCTAAGCCACACCATCTTCTGGAAGCCTCTATAAGGACGTGGAAGAAGCAAGGTTTTGTTCTTCTTTGCCTGCTTGTCCTCGCCCTATCAGCTGACTCCTTGGGATTCCAGAGACCAGCGGAGACACCCAGCCTTGTAGGCAACTACTAAATTCTTGGAATTTTCATTTACGGCTAGCCACAGTTGGATTAGTTGGACTGCAGCCTGTAAGTCCATGACAATAAATGCCCCCAACCCCAAACACAAAGAGATTCATTCCATACGTTCTATGACTCTAGAAAATCATGATTGCTACAGGGTTTTTGTTTTGGAGTTTTTCAAGATAGGGTTTCTCTGTATATGCCTGGCTGTCCCAGAACTCACTCTGTAGACCAGCCTGGCTTTGAGCTCAGAAATCCACCTGCTTCAGCCTCCCAAGTGCTGGTATTAAAGGCACAGGCCACTATTGCCTGGCTCAGACAGGGGCTTATTATGTAGTCCTGTCTGGCCTTGAACTAACCAGGTAGACCAAGGCTGGCCTTGAACTCACAAAGCTGTGGTCGCCTCTGCCTCCTGAATAGATGGAATTAAAGGCATGTATACCAGGCCAGATGTCAATGCACTTTTTGAAAAATTCCAAAACCATATCTGTAACTAACAGGAACTGTTCTAGAAGAAAGGTGGGCTACACGTGAGGAACATATTTTTTTACCTCATGGAATGGGAAAGACAGCACGTCAGTCGGGACGTTTTTCTTCCTGTAGATCCTATTAATGTGCTGAATACGCTTGTTGTCAACACAGATGATCCCCAGGTCAAAATCCTTCACTCCTAAAATACTCCTGACCACATCCATCCTGCTGCGAAGTGGCACTCTTCTGATGGGGACCACCCGCTGCAGATTTTTAATCACCAAACTCATTTTGGGAAGATCATCCAGCCCCTTAAAAATGGTTGGAAGGAACCTGTGGTTAGAGTTCGAGAAAAGACCCATCATTTCTAGAAAGTGATAAATTATGTAAAAATACATACACACTCACAATAAAACAATTTTATTGCTGGGTGGTGGTGGCGCACGCCTTTAATCCCAGCACTCAGGAGACAGAGGCAGGCGGATCTCTGACTTCAAACTCTGATCTACAGAGTTAGTTCCAGGACAGCCAGGGCCACACAAAGAAACCGTCCTGAGAAACAAACGAACGAACCAAAACAGACAAACAAAAATTTTATTTGGTGGAATTTATCTGCACTTGTCAGGGAATTTACATTTACCATAGGAAACTATGAAATAGGGTAGGCTGGGCACAGTGTGCGGAATAAGGCGGTTTGGGGCAGTTGCTATGGTGTAGGACCAGGTATGGGTGAAAAGATGGGGTCTCTGTGGGTCCAAGGTCTCTCTGACACTTGGGAGGGTGGATCCACACTCGAGCGTGGTGTTTCTACGCCGCACAAGGAGAAATCGCCGCACACTTACCAAAGCAAGTAACGTGGGAAGCTGGGAACTAGAAAGCTCGCCTGCCGGAAGATCAATAGCAGCACACCCCAGAGAGCGGAAGGCGGATGCGGAGGGCCGGAAGTCGGTCCGACGAATTTGTCGTCCGCCGCACACATCTAAGGGACTGTACCAGTGGTCTATAGTGAACCCATAGTGCGATGGGCCTGGTGGTGAACGGATGCTGGCAGTGAGTGAGCATCGGCCCTCGCGGCAGGGTCATATCTGGTGGAAACGCTCCTGCGGCGGCCTCCGCGGTTCACTGAGTTCTTGCCGAGTTGCTGAAGGCCTGGCTTCGCCATTTTCGCCCGAAGGTCTCTGTCGGCGGTGCCACCCGTTTACCAAGAGCTGCCGGCGAAGGCAACAAAACTTAGGTCTAGGCCAGGCCAAGGCATCTCAAGTTCGAGTTACTGGTTGAAAGATGAGATGGTAGAAAATCAGAACGGTGACATTTTAACAGTATTACGCTGTCATTCTCTGGCCTTGGAGATCGCAGGAATCAGGCGTAAGTGATGTTTTCCGTCTTAATGCTGAGATTTTTAGCCTTAGCTAGACCTGGTGGGGCATGCCTGTGATCCCAGCAATTGGGAAACCAAGGCAGGAGAAAGGAATGTAAGGCTGTGCTTGGCAGTATATAATAAGTTTGATGCAAGCCTGGGCTGAGACCTTGTCTTAAAACAAAACCAAACCTTTAAACCTCCATTACAGTAATTTATTTGTACTCTCTTTCTCTGTGTCCAAAACAGGAAGAACCTATTGGTTCTGTGAGTGGTTGGTCCATTGTGAACGTGCCTTTTAAATTATCCTTAGAGTATTCGTGATTTAAGACTTGTAACAGTGTGCTGGAATGTTCTGAACTTTTGTTTTTCAGGTTATCCTGAGGGATGAAGGAGAGCTTCCCCAGGCCATAGGCAGTTTAAGGAAGAGGACTAGTTGTGGACAGACTGTATTGATTGCCTTCAAAGATGAACCCAGGGAACCCCTTCATTGGGAAGCAGCCCAGTGCTTTTGCAGTATCTTCTAGTACCACGGGAACATTCCAGACGAAGTCACCATTTCGATTTGGCCAGCCTTCCATTTTTGGACAAAACACCACGCTGAGCAAGAACCTTGGCTTTTCACAGGTATCATCGAGCTTTGCAGCACCCTCTGGAATAAGTCATTCTTCCTCGTTGCCAATGTTTGGACTTCCCCAAACCTCTAGTGCTGGACTGTTTACTAGTCTTGAATCCACACCTTCTTTTCCAGCTACCTCTGGGCCTTCAAGTTCATCTGCGTCAGGAAATACAGGATTTAGTTTTAAATCACCCTCTAGCGTTGGGGTTTTCCCAAGCAGTTCTACTTTTGGGCCAGAGACTGGAGAAGTAGCAAGCTCTAGTTTTAGGAAAACAGATTTCAAGTTTAAACCCCTGGAAAATGCAGTATTCAGACCAATCCTGGGGGCGGAGTCAGAGCCAGAGAAAACCCAGAGTCAAGCTGTGTCTGGCTTTTTCAAGTTTTCCCAGCCTGTTAGTAGTGCCTCTGGAGGCCTCACCCCTTTTCCTTTTCCTCAGGCGACAAGTAGTTCAGTGACTAGTTCAAATTTTGCCTTTTCAAAGCCAGCTGATAGTAATACCACATCTGCCCTTATCCCTCCTTTGCCCAGCCAGAGTGTGGAGGAAGAGAAGAGGGGACCTAAGTCAGTATTTGGAAGTTCGAATACTGGTTTCGCCACTTTCCCCATGTCATCTGGATCTTTGGGAGAGCACTTCCCAGGCAACAAAACGGGTGTCCATCAAGGATGTGAGGAAGCCATTTCCCTGGTGGAACCGCTTCCTACCCCCATGAAAGGCCTAAAAAGGAAAGAGGACCAGGATCGCTCCCCAAGGAGACACTGCCATGAGACAGCAGAAGATTCCGACCCCCTGTCCCGGGGTGACCATCCTCCAGATAAACGACCCGTCCGCCTAAATAGACCCCGGGGAGGCACTTTGTTTGGTCGGACTATACAGGATGTCTTCAAAAGCAATAAAGAAGTTGGTCGCCTGGGCAGCAAGGAATCTAAAAAGGAAACAGGCTTTGTGGAATCTGGGGAAAGTGACCACATGACCATCCCAGGAGGAAATCAGTCTGCCCTGGTACCTTCCCGGCTTCCTGCTGTGAGTAAAGAGGAAGAGGCAGAAGGTAGAGATGAAAAAGAAGGTGAGCTCTAGGTGTGCACGGCACAGGACACCTTGCTGCCGCACTCTTCTCTGTTTCCCGGTGTTGGCTTGGTTTAAGTCCCCACCAAAACATTGGAGATCCTAACAGCACCTTGGGGCCGGCCTTGCGTCCATGAGCATTTCCTTTGCTTTTACACAGTAGCGACTTCTTGTGCTTAGACGTGTTCTACCCCACGGACTTACATGTCTGCCTTCTGACTTTCTAGATTCCCTCAGGGGAGCATCTGCGCGCCCGAGCAAAAGGAGTGAGAGCACAGACAGTCTCGGGGGCTTGTCTTCCCTGGAGTCCACAGCCATCCAGTGCAAGAACATCCCTGACTATCTCAACAACAGGACCGTCCTGGAGAACCACTTCGGCAAAATCGCCAAAGTACAGCGGGTCTTCACCCGGCGCAGCAAAAAGCTGGCAGTGGTGCATTTTTTTGATCATGTGAGTTCTCCCATCTTGCCTCTTGTTACTCCAGATTTGAACTCAGCGATGTGTTTTCCCCTCGTGCAGACGATCAAACCCAGTGCTTGCAGGCACTGTACCCCTGAGCTGCTGTTCTGAGGCCTCAGCCTGGTCTCTCGAAAGATTCTTTTTATTATTTTTATTTTATGTTTCTGGGTGTCTGCCTGCATGTTTGTCTATGCACCACTTGAATGCCTGTTGCCCTAGAGACCAGAAGAGGGCCTTAGTTCCCCTGAAACTGGAGTTACAGATGGTTGTAAGCTGTTGTGTGGGTGCTGGGAATAAAATCCAGTCCTCTGGAAGCGCAGCCAGCGTTCCTAACTGCTGACTCTCTGCAGTGCCAACTTTGTGCCTTTTAAACTTTTTCCCTTTCCACCTGTAAGTGGTTTGCTTGACAGACTGTAGGGAAAGCACCCAGGCATCACATTCTCTTCTCCTTAACTGTCTCATCTGAAGTTTAAAATTTTGTGTGTGTGTGTGTGTGTGTGTGTCGGGGGGTGGGTCATGAAGTTAGAAAAGGGATCCTAAAAGAGGGTCAGGGGAGAATGATAAAGAAGGTGGTGGACATGTGTTGTGGAAACAGAAGGGAGACTGGGGGAATGTAGAGAAATAGCCAACAGGAGCACAGGGATGGAGTAAGGGAAGGGAGCATGTGCATGAAATGGCATAATGAGATATGATATGTAATATGTCTATTGTTTATAATATGTATTACATATACATATATATTATACTTATTATATATCTATCCCATAGTAGATATGCCTACTAAAATAATTTTTTAAGAATCTCATTCTTCACTTGAGATTGTGATGGTGTTTACTTTCCTGACTTGGGGTATGCGTGTCTGAGGCCTCTGTAGAGCGAAGTTTTCTGGGGAGTGTGAGTGGGCGCAGGTGGAGTCGGGTTCTTCTGAAAGCCTTGAGAGTTGCGTGTAGTTGCGGAGTACTTTTCCAAGCTCAGATTCTCTGGTTTTGGTTTGTTTCATTTGGATAAGTTCATGATTAGTGTAGACATTCAAGCAATACAAAGAAAAGGAATCTCTTAGAATCCTATTCCCTAGGAAAAGCTGTTGGGCTTGTGGCCTGCTTCCAGTGTATACTTAAAGCACTGGCTGTGTGGTTTCACCTTCTGAGACTTTATATCTTTGCTATTTTTCTAAATATTCTTGTAGAAAGATTAAATCATATAAGAATTTAAGAAGGATGCACCCCTCGCGGTCCCGAGTTCCATGCTCGTACTCTCTCTCCTTCTACTCCTGATTTGGACCGTTGAGTTGTGTGCTACCACTGCCTGGCGAACTGCTATATCTTATGAGCTACATTTTGAAAAATGTTATATATGAGGTCAGAGAAATGGCTCAGTGGTTAAGAGCACTTGCTGCTCTTATAGGGGGCTGAGGTTCAGCTGATAGCACCCAGATGGTGACTCACAGTTCTCTGTAACTCCAGATCCAGTAGATCCAGTACTCTCTCCTGGCCTCCTCAGTACTGCATACTGAGGAGTTTTATCCACCTAGATTCATGCAGGCAGAACACTTGTGCATAAAGTAAAAATAAGTAACACCTAAAAATAATAAATGTAATATGTATGTATGTATCTGTGTATATATTTTAATTATCGTTGTTTTTGAGACAAAGTCTCATGTAGTCCAGGCTGGCCTCATAATTGCTGTGTTGCTGAGAGTGACCTTTTACTCTTTTTTTTTTTTTTTTTTTTTTCCTTTTTAAGACTGGGTTTCTCTGTGTAGCCTTGGCCGTCCTGGGATTTGCACTGTAGACCAGGCTGGCCTCACATTCTCAGAAATCTGCCTGCCTCTGCTGTTAAGTGCTGGGATGAAAGGCGAGCACTACCTCATCTAGCCTTTTTTAAAAAAATGTTGTGTGTATGTGTCTGTGAGTATGCCCAAGAAAGCTAGAAGAGGGCGGGGCGGGGGTTGGATCTCCAGGGAGCTGGAATTATATGTAATGCGAGCCATCTGATGCAGTGATGGGAACCCAGTTTGAGTCCAGAAGAGCAGAGCAGCAGGCACTCTGAATATGGGGCCATCTCTCCAGCCCTAACATTTATGTCTTCATTCTGTGTGTGTGGGGAGGGCAGGGGACTGGAGTAGGGGGCATCGGTGTGCCATGGTGAGTGATGTGGAGGTCAGAGAATAATTTCCGGAGGGCCATTTTTTTCCAGGAGCTTGAATTCCAGTCTTCTGGCATGGTGGCAGGTAGCTGTACCTGCTCAGCCATCTTGCTGGCCCTCCGATTTATTTTTAAGTAGTCTGTTCTGATTGCAGCCTCTGAGTGTTGAGTCTCATTTTCTTTGGTCTCTACATGTCCTCATAGTCGGTGGTTCTGAACTGTTTTTCAGGCATCTGCAGCCCTGGCTAGGAAGAAGGGGAAAAGTCTGCATAAGGATATGTCTATCTT